GCTCCCATGCCATAGCTGGGAGAGCCTGGAGGGAACTGGAGCACCACTTAACCACCAACCTCATGACAGGCATCATCCACAGCTGCCTCCTGTGCCTGAGCTTGTTGACCTCAGGACTTGGCAATCCAGACTAAAGCCACCAGACTGAAGGAGGTGCTGCTGGGATTTACACAGTACACGTAGCTTGGGTTAGATGGCTTTAATGGTTGGAGGGACAGATTCAGCCTTAGCCAAGAAGGGAGCAGAAGGGACACAGAGGAGGGTGTGAGGAGGTGAGGAGGAGCTGGGAGGGAATAAGATGCTATGGCCATGTTTGCTCTTTGCATTTCTGATGGCTCTGTGGAGGCCTTAAGCAAAGACAAGGGTGGTGTGGCCATCACCAGGATGGTGTGACCATCACCAGGGTGGTGTGACCATCACCAGCGTGGTGTGACCATCACCAGCGTGGTGTGACCATCACCAGGGTGGTGTGACCATCACCAGAGTGGTGTGACCATCAGCAGGGAGGTGCTGCAGGGAGGAGGTGCTTTCCTGCCATCTTATGAATAAGCCACGAGTTACGATGATCCCAAGAGATACCTCGAAAGAAAGTGTATCATAGTTACAAGAAAAACCCTTCAGATTTAAAAGCAGAATAAAATCCAGAGTTATACACTTGGGGGTAAAAAAAACCCAACCCTTTCATGGGATCATGGAAAGCAGGGCAAGGAGGGACTTAAGAGGTCAACCAGACCAATCTGCTGCCTGAAGTTGGGATCATCTCTACTTAAGCCATTCTTGATGGACGTGTGCCTAAGCTGCTCTTAAACCTTCCGTAGTGGATACCCATCTCCCCAGGCAATCTCTTCCCGTGCTTAATTATCCTTCCTGCTAGGAATGTTTTCCTCCTGCTCAGCCAACATCTCCCTTGTTACCACTCAAGGCTGTTGCCTCTTCTCCAACCTGCAGTGGATGCAGAGGGTTGCTCATTGCTTCCTTCTCTGGGCACTCTTGCTCCTCTTGGTCTTCTCTGCTGACTAAAGGAGCTGAGTCCTTCAGCCCTTCTCCTGGAGACCTTTGCTGCCCTCTCCACCTCTCCTCTCCTGAAGTCCTATCTCTGTTTTGAAGGAAACCACCCCAAACTCCACCTAGGATTTCAGCAGAGACCTTTGCGCTTGGGAACCAGCGAACCCCTTGACTCTGAGGGGCGTTTGGGTTGATCTCTTCATCCTTCCCAAGCTTGGGAAGCAGCATTCCCATTCAAACAGGCAGCCAGGCTGCAGAGCTTCCCAGGAGCAGCTCCTGCTGTCACTCAGTGCCTGCACCACGCGGAGCCGCTCGTGGGCGGCAGCGGAGTTTGGGATAATTGTCTTCTCTAATTAACTGGTTATCAAACACGAACATTTCATTACAGCACAATTACTGGCTGCTTTGCTGAGGCACAGAGGTGTCAGGATTACGATCCCAACATATGCTCCTTCCAGCTCTGATTTTTTTGTTTTCATAATCACTAACCATTTCTACTCCCCCTCCCCACCCACCCACTCACTTAATGACTAATGAATCCTTCTGCTAACGAAGCAGGGAAATAAATCAGTGGGCATGGCAGGTTGGAAAGGAAAACATGCAAAGTGTTTGGAGGATCCTTAAATCTGATCAATTACTTGCAAACACGAGTTACGATGATCCCAAGAGATACCTCGAAAGAAAGTGTATCATAGTTACAAGAAAAACCCTTCAGATTTAAAAGCAGAATAAAATCCAGAGTTATACACTTGGGGGTAAAAAAAACCCAACCCTTTCATGGGATCATGGAAAGCAGGGCAAGGAGGGACTTAAGAGGTCAACCAGACCAATCTGCTGCCTGAAGTTGGGATCATCTCTGCTTAAGCCATTCTTGATGGATGTGTGCCTAAGCTGCTCTTAAACCTTTCGTGGTGATTACCCATCTCCCCAGGCAATCTCTTCCCGTGCTTAATTATCCTTCCTGCTAGGAATGTTTTCCTCCTGCTCAGCCAACATCTCCCTTGTTACCACTCAAGGCTGTTGCCTCTTCTCCAACCTGCAGTGGATGCAGAGGGTTGCTCATTGCTTCCTTCTCTGGGCACTCTTGCTCCTCTTGGTCTTCTCTGCTGACTAAAGGAGCTGAGTCCTTCAGCCCTTCTCCTGGAGACCTTTGCTGCCCTCTCCACCTCTCCTCTCCTGAAGTCCTATCTCTGTTTTGAAGGAAACCACCCCAAACTCCACCTAGGATTTCAGCAGAGACCTTTGCGCTTGGGAACCAGCGAACCCCTTGACTCTGAGGGGCGTTTGGGTTGATCTCTTCATCCTTCCCAAGCTTGGGAAGCAGCATTCCCATTCAAACAGGCAGCCAGGCTGCAGAGCTTCCCAGGAGCAGCTCCTGCTGTCACTCAGTGCCTGCACCACGCGGAGCCGCTCGTGGGCGGCAGCGGAGTTTGGGATAATTGTCTTCTCTAATTAACTGGTTATCAAACACGAACATTTCATTACAGCACAATTACTGGCTGCTTTGCTGAGGCACAGAGGTGTCAGGATTACGATCCCAACATATGCTCCTTCCAGCTCTGATTTTTTTGTTTTCATAATCACTAACCATTTCTACTCCCCCTCCCCACCCACCCACTCACTTAATGACTAATGAATCCTTCTGCTAACGAAGCAGGGAAATAAATCAGTGGGCATGGCAGGTTGGAAAGGAAAACATGCAAAGTGTTTGGAGGATCCTTAAATCTGATCAATTACTTGCAAACTAAAAATCCCTAGGAAAAAAAAAAAAAAAGGGATTTAATTAGGAAGGAACGGGGTTTTGTCAACGTGGGGATTAAAATGGTAAAGGTTGTAAAGGCTGCGCTGGAGCTGCCTCTGCTGGAGGGATTGTGAGAAGTTTTGGTTGGGATCTGCTCTCTGAAAGGCCTTGCCCTGGTGAAGGCTGTGGCAAGGCTGCTCTGTGTCCTCAAGGCAGCACAAGGAGGTGCAGAAAACCCCACCTGCAGGGCAGAAGTGCTGGCAGAAGACCTATAGAGATGGGTTTTCTTACAGTGAGGGTGGTGAGAGCCTGGCCCAGGCTGCCCAGGGAAGCTGTGGCTGCCCCATCCCTGGCAGTGTTGAAGGGCAGGTTGGATGGGGCTTGGAGCAGCCTGGGCTGGTGGGAGGTGTCCCTGCCCATGCAGGGGGGTTGGAACTAGATGGTCTTTAAGATCACTTCCAACCCAAACCCTTCTAGCATTCTGCAGTCACAAATCAGATAACCCACCAGGAACCTTCCAGGGCTGGAGAGAGCATCAGAGGACACACCACCTGGGCTGGCCCTCTTACCCTGCTCATGGCCAGGTCCTGGGAGCAATCCCACTCTCTCCCTTTGGAGAATGCACTCCCTGAAGGGGAGGTTGGACTAGATGACCTTTAAAGGTCCCTTCCAACCCCACACACGTTCTAGGATTCACGTGATTCTACTTTCATGATGCACCAACCTCAGGAACCACATTTCAGAGCACCTCTTAGCAGCTGAGCTGGTGGCCACCTGCACAGGGAACACCACAGTGGTGGCTACAGTGTCCCTGCAATGGGCTACGACATCAGGGGGGGTGAGGATAGCAGAGGAAGGTAATAGCTTTTACTGGGGGAACTGATACAGTTTGAGGAAATAGATGCTTTTCACAGGCAAACTCTTCTTCAGGCTGACATTTTGAAATGTAATTTTGTTCTGAATGGAGCAAATATAATACTTCCTGAAGACCATAAAGCCAAAGACAAATTTAGAGAAATGTTCCAGTTGAGAAAATTGCCATCTGAGACCTTCCAGTGTGTCAAGTCAAAATGTTTCATTACAGGGATCTCTCTGATTTAGCAATGAAAAGGAGGTTTTCAAACCACTTTTAATGGAATTTATCTCTGCTGACTTTAAATGGGAATTCAAATAACTGGGTAGTTGAACTGCTGGAAGGTTATTTTCCCTTCAGAGGACAGTGTTAGAATGGAGCCTGGGGTGGAAATTTGCAGGGGAAAGGAGCTAAATATTCCCACTGGGCTCCACTGGTGTGATTATTGAAAGCTGCTGTTGTTTTTAAAGCAGAATGAAATGTATGCAAAGCTCTTCTAATTTAAATTAACTTTGGGTGCTCTGCTTGAGGAGGGCTTTGAGTTTCCAGGGGTGGAGGGGCCTGATGGGAAGTTTTCTCAGGAGTTTCTGCCTTTTTACCAGAATTTTTATGCCATTTTAAAATGTTCTTCTCACTCAGTGTAATGTGTTTAACACACTGCTGGATTATACCTTTATTTTTACATACATGGAGGGACAGAAAGTGACCCAACCCTGTGAAACAATCAGGAAACCTGTCTCATGATGGGGGGAAAGAAGGAAGAATAAACAATAATTCACTCTTACAAAGCTTTTTTTTTCTTGGTTGTTGTGGTTTTTTTGCTTAGGGTGGCAAACTCTCCTGCCACTTACTGATGTTCTGCTGCCAGAGCCAGGAGGTCAGGGAAAAAATCTCAGTCTTTATATGCTGAGAAAGGACTCCCCAGCTCACAGGGTTGTGGAGAAAGGCTGGGGAGTGATGACCTCTAAAGAATTAGTAACAGAAAGGCCAGGAGAATGAATGAGTTAAAGATTTTGGGATTTCTCACTGTTCTTGAAGCTCGTCTTGTTATTTGGGGATTTTGGCTCTTGTCTTGCTCTTCCACAAGTCTGGATCAAACTCATCCCCAATCCCTGTGGGGAAGTGACTCCATGGAGTTCACCTTATAAAATCAGGCTGTGGCTCTTAACAGCTGACTAATATCTCTGCCTCAATCTCTGCCTGGGCACACAGACCACTCTGCCCTGCCAGAAGCCTCCAGAAATCCCAGCAGGGTCCAACCCAGGGGCTTCATTTGTCTGATTTGGGGTAAATTCCAGTCCAGCAGAGTTTGTTATGCACGTGTTTTTTGCAGGGTACAGCCAAGCCCAGCATCACCCTGTCCTGCTTTATTAATTCTTATCTCTTGCTTCGTCCTTTCAGGCATACAAGAGGAAAACAGAAGCAGCCAAGAAGGAGTACCTGAAGGCCCTGGCTGCCTACAGGGCCAGCCTCGTCTCCAAGGTACCCCCTGCACGGTCTGGAGGTGACACTGGGGGGTTAGGGACAAGTCCTGGGGCTCTCTGGGCAGGAGGGAGTTCATAAGACACACAGTGTCATCACAGAGTCACCAAATGGTTTGAGTTGGAAGGGACCTTAAAGATCACCCAGTCCCACCCCCCTGCATGGGCAGGGACACCTCCCACCAGCCCAGGCTGCTCCAAGCCCCATCCAACCTGCCCTTCAACACTGCCAGGGATGGGGCAGCCACAGCTTCCCTGGGCAGTCTGGGCCAGGCTCTCACCACCCTCACAGCAAAGAATTTCCTCCTCATGTCTCATCTAAATTTCCCTTCTTCCAGTTTTAATCCATCCCCCCTTGTCCTCTCCCTCCCTGCCCTTGTCCCAAGTCCCTCCCCATCTTTCCTGGAGCCCCTTCAGGCACTGGAAGCTGCTCTAAGGTCTCCCTGGAGCCTTCTGTTCTCCAGGCTGAACACCCCAACTCTCCCAGCCTGTCTCCAGAGCAGAGCTGCTCCAGCCCTGGATCATTCCCATGGCCTCCTCTGGGCTCTCTGGAAGGTGCCAAGGGCAGCACCCAGGTGCCAGCACCCTGCTCCAGGCAGTGGGGCTGTTCCAGCTGCCCAGGACCTGGATCTGGCTTTTCCTTGCACGCTGATCCAAGAGCAGGTTTTAGGGAGTAAGGCCCCATCACTGCAGGTTGAGAAGCACATTGGTGCTTAAAGCTTTTTTCTCAGCCAAACCCCCAGAGCCCATTCCTAATTTTCAGGGGATTTCAGATTCCAAGGGAAACTCCCAGCCCTGCAGGGCTGCACCTGGGGTGACAAGGATGGGCCAAGTGCCTGCCCATCCCAATCCTCCACACGTGGATGCCCATCCAGGGGACCGCCTGCCTTGCCCTTCTTCATGCCTGCAGAGAGGGGACATGGGCATTTGCTGCCTGTGACTTTGGGGTGGTTCCCGTGGACTGTGGCTCAGGGGATGTGCTGCCCTTGGGCTGTGAGGGTGTATTTCAGGTTGTTTTCCCTTCAAAGCTTCTCCTTGGTACTGTACCACACCCCCATGACTTATTCAGCTACCATGGGAAATAATGTGATGTCCCAAGTCGACCAACATCTGTAGGATCCATGGGATTGTGGTGATGGGCTGGAAAGGCTCCAAGCCCCTGTGCAGACACCAACTGGCTTAACTTGTAAACAGGACAGCAGCTCTGGTAGGAAAAGGGAATGGAAAGGACTGCTTGGGGGTTTAAAAGCTCTTCTTGGTTCCTCTGGAAAGCTCTGAAGGTCTTGCCTTGGCTGCACCAGCGAGGGGCAGGGAGCAGGAGGGATGGACGTTCATTCTTACCCAGTTTCTCCAATGCCCAGTTCTTTGCAGAAGGGCAACTTTGTTTTGTGTAAAAGAGCACAGTGGGATCCTGGCTGCTGGGTGAGAAGGAGCTGGAGTGTCATTAGAGAGCCCACTGCAGGACAGAAACCTCCTTGTCTGAGCCAGAAAATGTCCTGTTGTTCTTCTACTTTTCCTGCAGAAATGAGGCCCCCATTGTTCTGTGCATTACAGAGCCCACCAGGGCTGCAGGAGATGAGGACAGCAGGGCTTTTACAGTCCTGTTTGCTCTCTATTGGAAGCAAAAGTGACCTTGCCACCCACCTTGGTGGGCCTAAGGAGTGAGCTGCAGTTGCCCCCGAGCTGGTCAAAGCCCCTCTGGTGCTCCAGGCTCTTCCAAACACTGAGTTACTGGGGTTTATTTTCCCAGATGAGGAAGCTGCAGCCAACCTGTGGTCACCCAGCAAGCAGGGCTGGGAGTCCTGGAGCTGCCTGCTGGGAGAGGAGCAGGAGCTGCTGGGAGTTAGTGTGGGTGGATGGATGGAGGGATCGGGGGGGGGG